ACTCATTTCCAGAGTAGTTGTACCAGCTTGTAATCCCACCAACAATGAAGGAGTGTTCGTCTTTTACCACATCCTCACCAGCATCTGCTATCACCTGAGTTTTTGATTTTAGCCATTCTGATTGGAGTGAAGTGGAATCTCAGGACTGTTTTGATTTGCATTTCCCTGGTGACTAAAGATGTTGAACATTTCTTTAGGTGCTTCTTGGCCATTCAAGTATCCTCTGTTGAGAATTCTTTGTTTAGCTCTGTATCCCATTTTTTAATAGAGTTATTTGATTGTACAGAGTCTAATTTCTTGAGTTTTGTATATATTGGATATTGGCCCCATATCAGATGTAGATTAGTAAAGATCTTTTCCCAATCTGTTTGTTGCCATTTTGTCCTATTGACAATGTCCTTTGCCTTATAGAAGCTTTGAAATTTTATGAGGTCCCATTTGTCAATTCTTGATCTTAGAGCATAAGCCACAAGTGTTCTGTTCAGGAAATTTTCCCCTGTGCCCAAGTATTCAAGCTTCTTCCTCACCCTCTCTGCTATTAGTTTCAGTTATGAACATAGTGTTACACATGCCCCTGTGGCCTGGTGTGCATCTTTTGGGTATATGTCCAAGAAAGGTATATTTGAGTATTCAGGTAGATCTATTTCCAATTTTCTGAGGAACCACCAGATTGATTTCTAGAGATATACCATTAGAAAGCATAATGGAGAGGATGTAAAAACCTCATAATTCTGTATTTGGGTAAGTGAATAAAGGTAGTGCAACACACACACATGCACACGTACATGCACACTCAAGGAATACATAGAAGAACAAAATGACTCCCCTCTTTCAGCAGAAATTGATTTCCAAGAGTTCTTCAGTGAGGAGTGGGGCTCTTGTGCTCTGCCCTCAGTTCATCATCCTTGGGAATAATATAACTCTTTGCAGCACAGCTAGAATTCTCATTCAACAGTTCACCATTTTGGGCTCTTTTTATTCCACACACGTTCTCTCTGATGGTGTACATGCTCAGGCAACTTGGGAGTGCAGACATCCCTTTGCAAATGCAAAAGTGATTTAAATTTCTTTGGTTTTCCACTTGGGAATTTGGCAGCAGTATCTTGGCAGTTCTACTCATGACTGAATGAGATCTCTCCATTATGCTTTCTATAAGGACTTCACCAATTCATATTACTCCCAACAGGACAGAAAGCTGCTTTTCACCTCATCCTTAGCAGCCACCACTATCTTTTGACTGCTACTGCCTTCCTAACAGGAGTGGTATTGAGCAGCTTGCTATGATATGGGTGGCATGTTCTACATTGCTTCTCACTGAGAGAGATCCCAGAGCCAAGACACTGAAGGTGGAGGCAGAACTCCTGCACCAGAGACCTCACTCTTACCTTATTTTCATTCCTTCTTTTTAAAAGATTCATTTTACTTTTAGTTGGGTGTACATACTGGTTCTGTGTACATACATTTTAGTTAGGTGTACATAACTAAACATAACTTGTGTCTCACTGTGTGGGCACATGCACTTACAATTGCAGGAGCCTGCAGAGGTCAGAAGAGGGTCAGGATCCGAGTTTCAGGCAGTTGTAAGCTGTCCTACGTTGGGACTAGCAGCCCAACTCAAGTCTTCTGCAAGAGCAGCACACACTCTTTGCCATCTTCATGTCATTCACTTCAAAAAAGAGAAAGCCACACCCAATGTAATGGCTCCTTTACAGGAACAGGAGGATAAGAAATCAGGGAACAGAACAGACACTTGCACAAGCATTTGTATGTCCTCTACATAAGTGTCCTGTCATCTGCAAATCAGCTGGATCTCTGGAGCACCTGTACCTGTCACTCACAGGTCAGGCTTTCATCACTGGCTCACTTCATCCAATCATTGGGAATAACTCTGCAGCACAACTAGAATTCTCATTCAACAGACCATCGACTTGTTCTCTTTCTGCTCCACACATGAGAGTCCTTAATAATAATAATAATAATGATAATAATAAATAATAAATAATGTTGATGGTGATGGTGGTGATGATGATGATGATGATGATAATAATAATAGAAGGAGGAAGAGGAGAAGGAGAAGGAGAAGGAGAAGGAGAAGGAGAAGGAGAAGGAGAAGGAGAAGAAGAAGGAGAAGAAGGAGAAGGAGAAGGAGAAGGAGACGGAGAAGAAGTCATCTACATAGTTGCACAGGCCTTTAGACCATACTTCTTAGAGGACTAAAGCAGGGAGATATCTTGAAAATACAATGGAAGACCAGTCCAGGCATGAGAGTAAGGGGAACACAGATGAATGAAAGTAAGTAAAGTAAATAACACTGATTGATGAGGACTGGGAGGGAGTCCTCCTAAGGAATATGCAAAGCTTTAATCAAGTTCTGTCCAGCACAAGTAAACAGTTCTGAGAATGAAACAAATCACACTATAGAGAGCAAATCACATTTTGAGGAACAAAAGAAGTCATTGAATATGGTTTGTAATAGAAATCTATGGTTTAAAAGGAGTGTGAAGAATTTTATGTAAAGAGTAAGACTTAATTAGCATTACAATTGTGGAAGAGCATCCAGCTGCCTAGCTTTACCTGCACAGGCCCAGGCAGTTAATATTTATTTCTGCTTTGCAAAGGAATGCTTCCACATTATCAGAACAGGAGAAGAACAGGATGAGGAGACATTCAAACCTTCTGAGGCAATAAGAAAATCTCAGGTTCCCATTGTGTGTTTTTTTTTTCTCCAGTTGAAATTACAGTCCTCTTCTCATTCTCTCTCCATCTCTGTTATTAGTCTATGGTGTAGAAGGTGGAACTTTGGGGAAAAAGAAAGCTATGCATCATTCTGCATTTTAAGCATATATTTTAAATGTTTTGTTGTCTTTTAGTGATGGTAAAAGTAATGCTAGGACTTGTTGACATCATTGAAGACTCCTGATTTGTCATCTACTATTATGTAACAATTCTATGTAATATTCTGTGTCATTCAATGACATTAGCCTCTTCATGCTTCTAAAAATTCAAGGGTAGACAAGGTACACATGCTGAGATCAAAGTTTACATAATCTAGTCAACATTCTAAAGGGTAAAGAAATACTGGAGACTTTTCTCTTAGGCTTCCTTCATTAAGTTTTCACATGGATTATTCAAAGCTTTACTGCTTCTAACAGTGAATTAATCAATGGAAGAGAATAAGAGGCCATTCATGCAAATACCACTAATGCATACTCTGTGTGTCTGTGTATGTGTGCACAATAACAAGTACTTTGTGTGCCTGTGCATGTGTGCACAACAACAGAGGATCTTATTCCTTTTTTTCCACAAACCCATTTTTCACTAAGTAAACCATAAAATTAAGAAGTTTCCAGAATTATTAACATATAAAATATGTGGTTTTGTAATCAACACATAGTAATTGTATATAGTAATGTTTATAGGGTAAAGTGGGATGTTTATTTTGTTTTATTTTACTTTGAGATAGAGTCTGATGTAATCCCAGCTGACCTTGAAGCTGATGTTTATCCTAGGATGACATTGAACTGATCCTTTTCTGCCCACTTGTCAAGTTCTGGGATTACTTGTTTGCTACCACATGCTTATGTGGTGCTGGGAATCAAATCCAGAGCTAAGCAAGCACTCTACCAACTGAGCTATAGCTGATCCAGAGGGGTGATACTTTAACTGATTTGGAGAATTGGCTGTCCACAGTTTTTCTAGTCTGCTGAGGAACATTAGACATTATTCCCACTGGCCTTATCCCTTCAACCACACTATCCCCATTCCTTTCTCAGTCATTGTTTTATTTTCTATGTCTCTGACACCAATTACCTAGTATCATTTACAAGTGGGACATGAATGCCTCTTATAACAGGAATGAAGATAAGTGACAAACACTGCTTTCTGTGCCTCACTGATTTCATGCCACACCGTATCTTTCTATATTATCCTTATTGCTACAAATGATACTGTTTGCTCCTTTTGACAGGTAAGTGATATCTAATTTCACACATATGTGTGCACACATACCCCAACCCACACCTCATGGTTTCTTTATCCATTCTTCCGTGGTTAGAAAACAAAGCTGATTCATATCTTGGCTCATGTGAATAGTGCTGCAAAAACCATGCAGAATCAAATATCTCTTTTCCTTAGGGGCCCATGCACAGTGTGTGTGGGCAAAGTGAGTGAAATTCTATTTCTATCCATAAATATGTAGAGTAAAAGTTGAAGAAAATGTAAATGTCTGGTATCTTCGTCGACTTTTTTTATCTGACTCATACATTCGTTAATAGATTTTTTTCCTTACCTGAATCAATGTGTTATTGAATGGTATTGAATTTCACTTCTCTTTCCCTCTGTCTCCATTTGTCAAATGGAGAACATAGCACCCACTTCATACAGCTGCAGATAATGTCAAATCAAGGCAGGTAACAAAGCTTGTCAAATGCCCAAGAAATCCCCCAACGGCTACAAAACACTAATGTTAACCTTAATCTGGAATGTTAATGCTATCATTGAATATTAATCATGGCTGTTAAGATGTATACACTTATGCTGCAACCTAGTATACACTCCTGATTCCAAGACCCACCAAGAGGGGACAAAACTTTGCAAACACTGCCATGCTTGATACCTGTCAACAATTTCAATTTAATTTTTAAATTTGAAGTTCCTATATTAGAAATGAAGTGCAATTATCCAAGTAAAATCCTACTTTGCATTTGGTAGAAGAAAACACAAAACTATCTTTGTGCTTGTGCACAGAGTGTCAGCCAAGTATAGCATCTGATGTTTTTCTCCTAGTGCAGAACATCACAGTCAGCCTTTGTATCTGGGTCTTGAATCAATAGCAAGTCACAAAAAAAAAAAAAACCAGACAGAATATAGCAAATGTTTATTCATTGTCTCCAAGTAACATAACTACAGTGGAGTGAAGAACTAACTGACTGGGCCACTCTCCCTACCCTGTACCCAAATGAAAACATGCAAAGGATGTCTCTCTAGACCTTTAACCCACAGACACACATCCGACCTGCTGCTGTGAGGCAGGAAACCCCAGAACTGCTCAGGACTGAAGCAGATTATGACCAACTCTGGATATCCACTGACTCTGCATTTTCTGAGACAATAGAGCAGCCCCACCCTCTAGCTGGTGACCTGAAATTCCAGCTTACAGAACACTTCTTGCCTCCCTGTGAAACAGCCAGACCATTGGGATGCTGATCCTGAGAGGGTTCACCTTCTCCTGCCTCTGGGTTTGTAAGTAGACATTTCCATGTGCAGGAGGCAGTGAAATCATCCTCATTTCCATTTCTTCAAATGCTGCCTTAGTTGCTCATGAGAATTTTTCTCTTTGCTTGCAGTTGGGCTTGGGCAGTTGGAGCAACCTGAAATATCGGTCACCAGAGCGACAGATGAGAGTGCCCACATATCCTGTATAGCTTCTATTCCAGAATTCAACAACATACATATACATTGGTACCGGCAGAAAACAAATCAACAGATTGAGTATCTAATGTATGTCAAGACAAGCTACAATCAACGCCCCCTAGAAGGGAAGAACAAGAAAATTGAAGCAAGTAAAGATTTTCAAACTTCTACTTCAACCTTGAGATTAAATTACTTGAAGAAAGAAGATGAAGCCACCTATTACTGTGCGGTCTGGATAAACACAACATGAGAGCTTCTAGACCAGCCTGCATAAGAACCATCCCCCATCTGTGCCCACCCACATCCTTCTTGGCAAGCACAGCTACTTGATGCTCAGCCAAGGGCCAACCGAGCCTTCTTCCCACACAGCACTTTTGGGACTTCCAGGAAATATCCTGGGTTCTATTTCCCCAGTGAGATCTTAGGTCCTGTGGATTACCAACTAAAGACAGAACAGCCTTCACACTAACTCAGGGCATCTGAGAGCGAGAGCTATTCAAATACAGGATAGGGAGCTCAAAGTGTGATCTGGTCTTTTGTTAATTCTTTGCACAGAGGCTTGCAGTAAGTGAATGACTTAGAATTAAGTCAGGAGAAGGCTAAATGTGAGGAGAGATAGGAATCCCACAGGGCTATTTCCTGCTACAGTTTCCCAGTGTCTTCATAAGCACTGGGGATTTTCAGAGATTACAGGATCTGTCTTTAGTTATAATTTATAGTTTATAATGAAGAAAACTAGTGACCATTGCACCTGTAACTAAATAATCAGCTCAGTGGGGGCTATTAGAGACCAATGTACAGTTTGGGGGAGGCAGGTCAGTGTAACAAAGCTTGGTCTACACCCTGGACTCATGGCTTATACTTTAGTGGTCTGCAAAGAAAATCATGTACTAAAGTAAGAGCATCAGGGGATGCAGTGGGTCACAGAACAAATTAGAAAACAAAACAAAAGAGCATGTTGTAGTTGCTGGGCTGCTTAGGAAGAGGGAGGTTTGGGATGAGGTGAGTAAGAAGGGGGGGCTAGTTAGTATGACCACAATGTGTTATATGGGTGTATGAAACAATAAATTAACAAAAAGAGGAAGAAATCTCCCTGTACCTCACAGAACGATAATAAAACAATCTTTGACAATTATGATTATTCTGAGTCTAGTAGTGGGATGATTGAGTACAACCAAGAAATAATGTGTCAAAATGCTAAAAGAAAAACAAAAACAAAAACACAAGTTCCTGTCCCATGCTGGAATCTACTTTCTGTGGACTGAAGTTCCCAGGGGAGAGCTGTCTGTTAGAACATCCATGATGGTGAAGAATTGAAGTGTTGTGGTCTTGATGCCAAATCATCCTGAACTATCTTTAACCATCATTTTAATTGTCCTTGTTTGTGTTTAATGAGCATCTTTATGACTGACTAATGGATAAATCCTGTAGGAATACATTAACATCCCACTAGCTGGCACTGACCCAAAGGCTAAGCATGCTATGAGATAGTATCTAATGCCTTTGGTAGAGATTCCCTCACTTTGCTATATAATCCAACTACTTGATTTTTTACCAAAGTATTTGAAAAGTACCTTGATTTGTTTTATTACTACAAAAACTTCATTAAACTGTTTCCAGGTTGGAACATAGCATTTGTGATAAACTCAATCCATGATTCTGGAAAATGATCACTTACTGTTCCATCTGAAATCTAACTCTCCTTTTTCCCATTACAGTGAGAGCCAGGTTTTGCAATGATACTTGTACTTAATGTAATCACATAATTAATGTGGAAAAATTATGGGTTCAAAAATTATCCTTAGGTAGATGTGCTGATCACCTTTGGGAGGCTGAAGCAAGAAGAGTATGACATTGAGGGCAGCCTGGGCAACACTGCTTCAGAGGAGGAGAAGAAAGAGGGAGAGGCAGATAGAGACAGACAGGCAGAGAGAGACAAAAAGACAAAGAGACACAGAGACAGGCCAGGAGAAGGCAAATCAGAAGAAAAGAGTTTTTTATATTACAGATATCATTAGTATTAATAATAGAGGTAACATAACATTGGACTATCCATAGTTTAGGTACATTTTATCCTATGGTTTTATTTAAGATGTTTCCGTGATTTGCCCTAACATTCTCCTTATTCTCCTGTCCCTTAATTTATAGATTTCTTTTTTTCACATGACCCAAAGGACTCGAATGTTACATCCCTGTGTATCTTAAGATTTATTATGCTTTGACTGAATGATCCGACTTCTCTAGCTTGTCTCCAGTCACTGGTATCCTACTGTCCCCATGATTATTCTACTGATGAGACTTTCCACTTAGCTTTTTTATTTGACGTACTACATTTTTACTTCAAGCATTGTTTTTGTTTGACTTTTCTTCCACATCTCTACACTTGGTTCAATTCTAGTTTCATATTCTGAATTGTCTTTGATATTTCATTTGCTTGTTCTCAATGAGCATTCATCCAGCTGTTTTATTCGTATCCTCTTTGTATCCATATAGGAGTGAGTTCTTGTTCTCTTTGAAAATATATTTTCATGAAAAATATCTATAATTTAAAAAATATTTTTCTGAAGTTTTGTCTAAATTTCTCTAACTGGGGATTACATGTTTAGTAATTTAGGAGGAAACATAGTCTGAGCTTTTTACATAGCTTATGTTTTAAGATTAGTCTTGCACACTTGGAGGCAATTTGCTGGTTTGGTCTTTGGTATGAGTTTCTCGTCAACTTTTACTGAGTGAGTGTTTTGCTCTCTCCCTATTGTTCCCTGGGCTTAGTTAGTTTTATATCAGATAGATAATACTTGAAGCTCCATACTGATCTATGAGTGAGAAAGCTGTCCTGACACGAGCACAGTTGTGAAGTGTATGACCTCTGACCTTACCAGTTGGTGTTATGCTTGAGCTGGCATAGAAGGAACAGGGAGCTGCAGTGTCAGGGGTGTTGCCTCTAGGTCTTAGGGAGCAGGCAGGGTCCAGTGGCAGTGGGGATTGTGAATGCCAGAGGTTGGTGATATGGTCTCCAACTTGACAACTGGGCAGGTATTCTGGAGGGTCCTATACATGATTCTGGAGTTTGCGATGCCAAGAGTTAGCTAAGATGTGTGCAATTTATTTTTTTTTTATCACTCTGTTTCTCAATACTACCTAAGTGAATCTTTGTTACATATCCATTCCCTGAAATTGATTGTTTGGCTTTGGTTAAATTACATATTTTTTATTTCATTTACCTAATTTGCAATGGAGAATATGATGTTAACTTTAGTGAATTATTGAAAGTTATCACCAAATAATCTACATTTGTAAAGCCTATACCCATCCACCATTAAATAACTGATGTTATTGAATAACTGTTAGACAGTTGATCTGGATATTAGCACATTTTAGTGCATGAAATTATTTAGACAACTAAATATATAGGGCTGCTGACTAAAGTAAGCAGGTTTGTTTTTAATGCTTATTAAAACGGTACACGACATGTCATCCTTAAGTTGGCCATTTAATGGCAACACTCAATAGCCAAAGAAAGTCTGAAGCAGGTTTCTTTGTCTGGATGGTTAGAAGTCTAATGTTGGGGTTGAGGTAAATTCTCTGTCTATAATAGCCTACCACCAAATATTCCAGGTGAAATGTAGTGTGAGCAGCAATGTTAGTAAACTTTTGCCCAAGAGAAAGTTCAAATGTAGACATCAGGTACTATGTATCTTCTATCTATCTATCTATCTATCTATCTATCTATCTATCTATCTATCTATCATCTACTTATCTATTATTTAGCTGTCTACTCAGTTCATATCATCTCTATACTTATGCATTTATTTGTCATCTATTATCTACTATTTACTTGTCATCAATCTTTTATCAGTCATCTGCCTGTCTGACTATTATCCATAATCTATATATCTATCATCTATCATCTAACATTTACTTATATGCATTTATTATCTAACATCTGTTTCAGTGCTATCTCAATCACCTCCATCATCTCCCTTCTTTCTCTTCTTTCTCTCCATCCTTACCTTTCTCATCATTCTCTTCCTTCTCTCTAACTCTATCACTTCTCAGATTAAGCACACAATAACTTTACTTTTTAAACAAGTAAGCAGCTTCTTTATATTAATAAATTCAAGTAGAAAAGTGGAAAACAAGGTTTTTATTTAAAATTTGATGAGTAAATCAACTTTTGTAGCACACCTTGATGAATATGAGATTTCTCTTTTGCTACCCTGCATGTTTTAGCTAAAAATTAATAATTATGAACAGGGTAAGAACAGAAGGTGTTCATTCAAAGCAGTGTATGTACTTAATCTGTAGCTGCATGATTATTAGAATACCTGAACTCAAGCTTGAGAGTCTGGGGAAACTCTGCATCTATGAAGGGTTTTCACTATTCATAAGGTTCTGCAATTTTCTTCTATAACTGTGGAATTCTCATCTCATTCTATACTGTGTATATTAATGGAACTCTTCCTGTGTGATTATAATCACATACTGTTTGGACCCTGTTAAAATAATATGAAAAACATTAAAATAAGCTTCTTAAAAAAGATGTCAGGAAGAATTGTCTTTGAGACACCTATGAACAACAGATAGGGAACAGTTGTCATTACCTAGGAAACAATGACTCTGTTATCATAACATAGGTATAGCAATGAGGTCTTCTGGTATCGAATGGTTCCTTTGCAATGAACATGATAAAAATGACCCTGTGACACAACTCTGAATCATGTCTTACCCTCCTCCCTGGCTGCTTCTCCACAGAGCTAGGGCTTCACGTTAATCTACTGCAGCTGAGGTCCAATTCACTGTCTCTAATGTCCTTTGCAACTATCATTGGAAATGCAAAAACTCCTCCCCCTGAGTTTTTCCTTCAATCTTTGACTTGAGTTTTTAAGTTGATTTTGTTCCCTTCTGTGCTTCCACTATTTGTGTATTTGAAGTCAACTAGGAATTTAAAATATTTGAACAATTTCTAATTTCTCTTCCTCACTTTTAAGATGAAGACTCCAAAATGAGACTGTCTCATTATCAGTTGTACTTCACCAAATGACCAAACAAGACAGTGCACCTAAGTGCATAAGCTGCAAGCTCTCTAGGTGTTGGAAATTTGGTTCTAATGCTTTGATTTAATCAGGAATCGGTGTGTCCAAATGCTGAAGGTCCTTGCCCCCGATTGTTTTTAATTGATCAATAAAGATGCCTACGGCTAACAGCTGGTCATGGGGTAGGACCCTTAGAATTGCACGGGTGAGGACGCAGATAGCAATAGGAGAGAATCAGGTTGACTCGGAGTGGAAGGTTGAGATGCAGGAGCAGCAGGAAGTAAAGCCAACCAGCCTTGTGAGACTTCGGGTAAATGGTCACTGGCCACTCCCCCGATTGGGCCTGGGGTAGCAGGGAAAGGTTTAGGAGTGACCAGAATTTGAAGCAGCCAAGGCATTTTAAAAATAAGCTAATTTGTGTGTGTGTCCTTCATTCGAAGGTCCAAAGATAGGTCTTGGGTAGGTACACACATGCGATCTGCCAGGAGCTTAAGCGAAAACTCACCACAACATCTGGGTCCTCCATCCAGAACTCCATTCTACACTGGTACAAATTGAAAAAAGGGGGACCACTGAGATGAATCCTCTATGGCTCAGCAAAGACAAACCCAACTCCCACTTGGAAACAGATGAGAAGAATGACTGTACCTTTAGAAACAATGTTATCACATCAGATGAAGTCACATACTATTGTGCCAACTGTTATCTCAGTGTCTCAGCATCTGAAGGGACCTGTAAGAAAAGATTCGTATTCCTGCTCCTTGGCTTCCCTCACAGTCAAGAAATCACCAAGGGCCTTCAGTGCTCTTATTCACAGGTTCATGGGTATTGGGACTGGGTATATCACTGGGACTTAGGATTCACTTAGCTCAAAGCTGTCATTGCAAAAGAGGAAGCTTGTCCCCAGAGTGGTTCTGAAACTGGTAACCTACAACACTTATCTCTGTGGCTTTTCCTGTCTCTCTTATGATCAGTGCCAAGCCAAGCTTCTTTTAGAAAATGTTTTGATTAGATTTAGTTCTCAACACAACCTGGAAAGAGAGTATGAATGGGGAATTGTCATTGGATTATGATGGCACCTGTGAAATCAAAATGACACAAGTCTGTGAAAGTGTATGCCTTGCACCTCTTGCATGTCGGTAGTATAGATATAGTATATATTCTTAAGAAAACAATATATGAGGGGACTTCCGCCTTCTAGACCAAGCAGAGAGGGGCCACCCAGAACCCCCTCTGACTGGCAATCTGAATTCTTGCTTAGGCTGTGAGGCTAAGCACTGCAAGGGAATATAAATAAAAGTTAAAAATATCTCTCTGGGTTCCCTGAAGGACAAGCCTGACTGCATAAGGGTTGAGGCCAAAAGTATCCCCTCTCCAGGAAAAAGACATCGGGATGAGTATGGCCCTCATGCCTCACTGGACAACGACAGGGGGACCGGAGCCATTACAAAGTCCCCTTCAATTACTGGAGGTCAGGCCTCTATCCCCGCCTTCACAAGATTAGAATCACCACAGCCCTTCTACACTTAGAGAAGGGAGGAGATGTCAGGGGCAGCCCTGCTTACACACTGAAGGCCTAAAATAAGCCATAGGCCTAAAATCAGCAATAGGCCTGTCATACATGTATACTAACACCAAGTCTTGGGTCTCTGTGGAAAAACATTGAAATAGATGGCTATAAGCTATTGTAAACAGGCAGCTTTTGTGGAAATTTACCAGCCTGAGTAGTCATAGACCTTGTAAATAGGTAGCCTTGGCAGATAATACCAACTTAGATAAGGACAAGTGAATCATAGGCAGAGTCATAGTGACCTGTCCCCTGAACCTTCACCAGCTGATACCCTGTTCTGGAAGATACCTGTACTCCCCTGAACACTCACGCTCCAGTGTCATCCCCTTCCCCACGTCCTGCCTTTTTGTGTTTATAACCCCTGTGTGAATAAGTAAAAATTACGATTTGATTTTTTAAAAAAAGAAACCCTAAAAATAAATGAATGGATGAATAAATAAATAAATAAATAAATAAATAAATAAAATTTTAAAATAAAGAAAAGAAAACAGTATATGTATATAAAGCAAATAGCCTGCTCAGCTTTCTCATAGAAATCCTACCTCGTTATGGACCAGAAGTCAGTAAACAACATCAACATTTCTGGAAGAGAGCTGATGTGAACTCAATGTATAAACTTTTATTTTTTTCTCAAAATGCCAATTTGGGGTTGGAGAGGTAGCTTAGCACGAGTGTTTTCTGTTATTACAGAGGTCCCAGGTTCAGTTCCCTGTACCCACATGAAGACTCACAACTGCCTGTAACCCAGGGGATTCATGCCTTCTCTGCCTTCTGTAGGCACTGTATATATATTTCAAACACACACACACACATGCAGGCAAAATATTCACAGACATAAAACTAAAATTTTAACATTTACATGTAAAACCATATTCAAGATACAGTTTTTTTCTAAAGTCTTGTCCTCTCACCTGGCTTGGTGGCTGAGCGAGGACTGTTGATGGTCAGTTGTTCTGATCGTCAAAAGTCCTTCATCCTCTGGGACAGAATTCATGTGTGCTTATGGAATGCAGACCTGGACTGTTGAGTTTTAGACATGGTAGTGAGCCAGACTGGTAGGTGCCTCAGCTGGGCTCCAGAACATTTCTGGACATTCCTCTCCTCCTGTTGAGGTGAGCAACAGGAGTTCACTGCAACTGCCTTCAGGAGGCATTTTTTTTTCTCTTTTGTCCAGATTTTCCAAATACCAGATTTTAGTTTCTACTTTCTAGTGTAAATAAGGAATGAATGTATAATTGCATGGGAGGTAGAATTGTATAATTTTATTTTCTTATATGTGAGGAAAAAGGAAGTCATCGTTGAAGCCATTTCCTAGTAGGCACCACCCTGATAGAGAATCCAGATGTTAAGAGGTCTTGTATCACAAACCATGAAAGGCTTGGTTCACCATCCTTAAATTTTGTTTGGTTCGTACTTTCCCATAGCCATTGCTAGAGAGCTTTCTCCCTCAAGAATCCTCCAAATTACTGAAGGAGTGACCTTGACATTTCTGAGAACAAAGGTGTGTTTGATGAATTTTCCTTGCAGTTTCATCAAAATTAAACATCTGAGAGCCACACAAAAAAGAGACTTAATTCTGAGAACACATTTCCTGGTACGTTAGAAAAGTAGTCGGTCTGTGATGTGGTCCAACCCTCTAGCTTTTACCCGTCCCACTGTCTGTTGATACTTCCCAGTCATCAATACCTTAGACAAGAGAAGAGTTTGTGAAGGAAACATACAAATTATTGGAAGACACAAAACTGTCCAAAGGAATCCAGGTCATCTTTCTAAGATAAGAGTTACTAAATAGCTCATCAGACTGAAGTTCAAGAGAGGGCTCCTGTTTTTGTAGAAGTGCTGAACAATGTGTCAGGCAAATCATGGGTCAAGATATTTGCCAACGGGACAAAGCTCATAGTAATTCCCTCAGGTAAGGAACTGTTGTGTTGTTATCTTAGAGTGAATAACCAACGAGATTTTTTTTCTTGGTTTTAGAAAAAAATAACAATTATGATCAACGATATCTCACCACAACTCCTCAGTTATGAATTACTGGATATGAATAAAGCTACACTGTAAGAAATTCCTTCCTTCCTTGTCAGTTAGCAAACTGAAATCCTGTATTCAAAATGCACAGACAAGATAGCAGTTAGAATTCTGTGAGGACTGTTTATGCTACTCACCAATATCACTTTATATCAGGTTACATTTTTTGTAGAAGATCTTTTAAGTGGGACTCCTCAAAGTGAAATTTAATTAATTTCTTCTATATATATTTGGAGAAGTAAGAAGTTATGTAATAATCTACCTAGATGTCAATTATTCCACTCATCTGAATCATAAAATGCCCATAAATATTATTTAATATATGTTTATTGAATGCTCAAATACATGAATACTGTAATTGGTTCATAAAAAGTGAAGGAACATTTAAAAATGTAATTCCATGCTAGGCTAAACACTGGTTTATGCATGAAAACCTTTTAAGGGAACAGATATTTTATTATAGTTATTAAAGTCCCTATTGATCATAGAAAAATTGTTAAGATACTTAAATAAGCACAAACACCTGCTACCATCGCTCATGGCCATTATTCTGTAAAATTTCCGTTCATCATTTGTCTGGGTACGTTTTAATTATATTTACACAATCAGGGTAGAGTAGGTGCACAATACTGATTCTGAGTGTTTTTTTCAATGGTACTATGCTACAAAGATTCTACCTAACCATTGTTCTTAAAATTATTCATATTTTCATTCATAGTTGGGCTGTACCGTAAAGATAATGACCTCCAGCTTTAGTTAGAGAATGCGCTACTTGAATTACAAATGCATGGGAGAGTGACATATTCAGTCAGTCTAAGAGACAAAAACCTTTATCACTTGTGTATCTTTAAAGTGAGAACTAAAGTAAGTCTCTGCAACCTATAGTGAGCAGAAGTCTACAGTGAGTGCTACAGTTGTAGTTCGTCTTCTGAGCACTGTGCACCCATTTGTGTCAAATCCATTTAATATCCAAGTCTCCCTAATAATTTTCTTTTTTATATTTTACATGTTCCTACAGACAAACGCATTGACTCAGACATTTCTCCCAAGCCTACTATTTTTCTTCCTTCTGTTGCTGAAACAAATCTCCATAACGGTGGGACATACCTTTGTCTCCTTGAGAATTTCTTTCCTGATGTTATAAGGGTATATTGGAAAGAAAAGGATGATGATAAGATTCTGGAATCTCAAGAGGGAACCACCATGAAAACTAATGACAGATACATGAAATTAAGTTGGCTGACGGTGACTGAAGATTCAATGACTAAAGAACATACTTGTATTGTCAAACACGAAAAAAACAAAAGAGGAGTTGACCAAGAGATTTTCTTTCCTCCGATAAATAAAGGTATGTGTAAGTTAATGTACATACAATTTTACATATGTAAAAGAGAATAGTCCTATTGTTATAGTATATATTTATAAAAATAAATCATGAATCTCTCTTCAATCTTAGAACATTGTAAGCACAGAACCATGCTGTTCTGTCCCCGAGAATGTTGCAGGTGGAGAAAAACTAGCAGAATATTTGCTTTCAATTTACTCAGCCTCAGTGACACTATGTAAAACATGACTATCATATCATATGTTTTAAGAATTACTGCATGGATTAAGTGAATGAACATACCCTAAAGCATTTAGCAACTCAGTGCATGAATTGCAGTTTCCATTTTGCTGACCTTACTTGATTTAGTCATAAGAACAATACACCTCTTTCAGAAATGTTCTACCTATAAAATAATCAAAATTACCTAAGTTGATTTTGATACACTAAATTTTATTCGCAGAAAGCTTTTAACTGACAAGATAGTGCTCACACAAAATATTTACATTCAACAGCAATAACAACAAAAATAGGTCTATTTGGCCACTGAAGGTGTATACAAGCCTTGAGGTTTTCTGTTTGTTTGGTTTTTTTTAACATGGCACTGTTACACCGCATTCACCATTTAAATTTGGACGATGCTAACATATACAACACACCTCTGTTTTCCATGGTGAATAGATTTCTTGCCATTGGTAAATGCAGCCACTTGGGTAAACAATTGCTATGTCACCTGTAAGCCAGACTGAGTGAGATGTGAATAGTTTAGGATGAGTTAGAGTCCCAGTGGCTGCAGAGGAGAGTCTGTATTCTGTTCCTCATCATTTAAAGTCATGCATTATTTAGGAACCATTTCGTAGGCACTTTCATACAACTAAGTAGAGAGGTGAGTGAGCAAAGACTGGTGGTGGGCCACGAGCTAGCTCACTGTTCGGGTATTTTGTCATCTTTTTTTGAAAGAATTCCAAAGTCCCGGAATGACAGAGACAATTTTTTTTATTTCCTCCCATTAACAAGCACTTTTGATCTAGTGGAGAAACATACAAACGACAAAACCTGAGGACATTTGCCATTTGATCATCAGATGTCCTCAGTAAGTCCTTATCCTCTGGAATACTTTGTTTCAATAGTGGCCTGCCATGTCTGTCAAATTGTCTGCCTTCACCTATGGTTGTCATGGAGAGAAAATAAATTAGCAACCATGAAAGAAGTTGTTTCCTACAGCATAGCAAATCACTACAAGATAGCCCCATATTCTACTTCTATATTCTAGCTTAAAGAGATAGAGGCTAGATAAATATACAAAGCAGAAGGCTACCATAACCATTTTGATTATGTTGTGACCTTCCTAGTGGTCAGGGAAAATAAAGAACAGTAAAACCCTTAGGGATGAAGCTGTGCAGAGGAGACATTTCACTTACTAAAATTTGATTACAGTGAACTCTAAAACAAGCATCTGCCATGTGCATCTCCTGGCAGGAAAAAGAACAAGAGCATTTTTTTGTAGCAGAATTCAACAAAGAGTTTCTGATGCTGCCTCCAGGGTATGTTTTGTCTCGATAGTTGAAGCTTCAAAGTCATACAGTGATATAGAACTTAATGACATAATTATAAAAGAACATGAAGCTGGTCTCTAAGACTGTAATTACCTTTGGGGGAAAGAGTTTTAAAACATAGATTATATTATTAGTAACTCTACTCTTTGTACCTCAATCAGTACATGCTGATAGTGATTTTCGTTTCTCTTTTAGAGAATAGTTACTCAAAAGACAGAAAGTAGACATTTAGAGCCATCAGGCAGACCTTGAAGATAGAAAGCAAACATGATCATATTTATATTTTCATTAAAACACCCATATATGTATTTGTGGCAGATATATACATACATATTTGAGTGTATACTTATATATTTGAATCCATTTTCATGCACACAGAACCTGTTCTTCAATAAAATTGAGTAGTGGAAGGAAATCGATATCAATGAGAACACATGTAGCAGAAAAATAAGTTCAAAGAACAAATGCGTACTTTTCAACATCATTTAAAATAATTAAACACCATATTATTTTTACTTTTAAAAACTCACACTTGTCTCTCTCATCTCAAGTTTTATACAGAAAACTAGAAATGTAACTTGGATTAGCTGTGTATCCCCATAAATAGCTGCACAGGGACCTTTAGGTATTAGAATTGAGATCTTAGCAGGTTTTTTTCTTGGTGGTGGTGGTTGTGATGGTGGATTTATTTATTTATTTATTTATTTATTTATTTATTTATTTATTTTAGATAAAAGACCCTTATTTTATATCCCTGGCTATCCTGGAACACGCTGTAGAAACCAGGCTTGCTTTTCATAGTCTGACATGAAAGCCAAGCACTCCTAGGCCCATAGATCAACCTATACTCTGCTTATCTTTCCATTGAGCATGTATTTGTACATCTTCTCTTTTGTTGCAGACAGTGTTCTAGGACCTAGTACACAGGATAAGTAGGTATGAATAGGAAGTGTTGGGAATTACATCGAGTTGTGATAAACGTGTGATTGTTGTGACCTTCAGTAGGTTCACATGTAGAATCTTCATATATGAATGTCACCTACTAAATTACATACAATGCAACAAACCTTTCTGGGATTGCAAGGCTCACATTTTAATGGTCGTCTTTTTTGACATTAAATTTCTATGCACATATGTACAAATATGTATATTCATATGTTTATATACACATATCTATAAATACAGTAAAAATAATAGCCATAGATAGTTGACTAGTGTTTGCTTTTCTTTCCTTTAGCTGTCAGCATCAATACTCCCACAGAAGCTGCTTTGAAGACTGAGAATGGTAAGCTTTAGATTGTATTGTCCTCCTTCTAGTCTTTTTACCTTTTGAATACACCCTACTCTAGGTAGAAAAAAGTAGAATGACTGAATTTTGCCAAACAGACTGAGTGCTGAGTGACATTTAAAACAATCAATCATTTCCTTGGAATCATATGAACATAGAAAATTAACAAATGAGACTTCAGTGAGATGCTCTGAATGATTGCAAAGAAAAATCTAATCCATCCATCCATCCATCTATCCCAGATACCCTACCACCCATCCTTTTACCCATCCACCATTTAATGACTGGAACATATGTGATACCAAGTTACTCTAATACTGCTTTTAAACATTGATAAATAAACCTAAACATTAAATTTGATTCAAAGAACCAGACACTCAAGCAAACAACAAAAACCCTACAAAGGCTTGGCTTTCCCCCAAAAGTAACTGTAGAAGAATGCACAGACATATAGAGAAAACAATATATTCTTTATATGATATAATTTTACATACTTTTAACTTGGAGGATAATAATACAGGACTTGAGGACAAAGGGTTACTCATCTAGAAAGGAGTAAAATGTCTCATGTCAAAAGAAGTTGGCTTTTGCAGCAGTAGCCCATGACCAGCATCTTCATACAATCTGGAACGCCATTTTTGCTTAGTGTACAAATCAGTAGGTTTCATGACACCACTTTCATGGGTGTGCACCTTTTGCTCCTATTCGACCATAGTTCCCATCGCTAGCCCTTCCTCCTCATTCTTGCTGGAGTCCATACTCCCCCTTTCATATTCATACATTTATAATCTCTACAATCCAGAGAACTCATGCAACAGCCATCCTTGTAAGTCTGTTTTTTTTTTTTATTATTGGATGATTTATTTACATTTCCTATGTTGTCCCCTTACCCCATCCCCCACCACCCCCTCGGAACCCCCAATCCCCTCACCCCTCCTCCTTCTTCTCTGTGGATGTAACCTCTATCTACACCCCCCCACTCCCACCTCCCCACCCTCAAAATTCCCACCCCCTGGGGCATCCAGCCTTCATGAGGTCAAGGTTCTCTTCTTCCACCTATGCCCAGCAGGGCCCTCCACTTTTACATATTCAGCTGAAGCCCTGGATCCCCCCCCTAAGTGCTCCCAGGATGGTGGTTTAGACCCTGGGAGCTGTGGTTGGTTGGTATTGTTGCTCTCCTCATGGTGCCACAAACCCTTTCAGCTCCTTCAGTCTTCACTCTAACTCCTCTATTGAGAACCCCATGATCAGTTCAATGGCTAGTTGTGAGCATCTGCCTCTGAATATGTCTGACTCTTGAAGGCCTCTGAGGAGATATCCATATCAGGCTCTTATCAGCATGCACTTCCTGTCTTCCACATCAGCATCTACCTTTGGTGATTGCACATGGGATAGATACTCAGGTGGGGTGGTCTTGAGACGGCCCCTCCTTCAGTTTCTGTCCCTCACTTTGTCTCCATATTTGCTCCCTTGAGTATTTTGTTGCTCCTTCTAAGAAGGACCGAATCACCCTCACTTGGTCTTCCTTCTTTATGGGCTTCATGTGGCCTGTGAGTTGCATCTTGGGCATTTCAAGGTTCTAGGCTAATATCCAATAATCAGTGAGTGAATACCATGTGTCTTCTTTTGTGATTGGCTTACCTCACTCAGGATGATAATTTCTAGTTCCATCCATTTACCTAGGAACCTCTCGAATTCATTGTTTTTAATAGCTGAGTAATACTCCATTGTGTAAATATACCACATTTTTTGAATCCATTCCTCAGTTGAAGGACATCTCCAGGTCCACTAATTAACCCTCTGATGATAATTTTTCTTTATTCTTTTATTTTTTAATGCTTTTAATTGAAAAAGAATTACATGACTTCCCAGCTACCTTTCTTCCCTCCAACGCTTCCCAGTTATGCTACTTCAATATCCACCAGTGATCCTAGACTCCAATATAGATAGCTTCTTTTGGATTATACTTATTTTATTACATATATATATATATACACACACACACACACACACACACACATACACACACAAATAGAACTTGCTGAGTCTGTTTCTGTTGTTTGTGTCTATATGGTTTCAAAACTGACCACACTACACTGGAAAATCCAAAAGGCGTCTCATTTCTGGGAAAGACTAATTTTCCATATTTCATGTATCAGTGCCTGCCTATATTTCTTTGTCTAAATGTGGGACTCTGAGAAGTTTGTTCCCTTCCACATTAACATGTCCATTGACATATTCTCACCTTGTGTTTATACAGACAATTACAGGACAGAGTGTTTCACAACAGACTTCCTGGTATGCTGGCTCTAGTCTGTTTTCTCCCTCTTTCAGGATGCTTCCTAGTCAGAGATGCAGTAACTGTGATGTAGATGTAGACAGTGGGGCTGGGCCCTTGTGACCTGTTGATCTCTGCATTGTGCCAGTTGCTGTTTTCTGTTTTGGTCTCCATCTGGTGCAAATAGAGGCTTCTTTAATGAGGGGTGAGAACTACATTGATCAATGGGTACAAGCATATGATTTAGAATATAATAAAGAACCATGCTAGTCTAGCAAATTGGTGGTGGTTTTGCTTTTTTTTTCTAAAGTATAATACTTCAGCAGCCCAGGAAGCTGGCTAGATTCCCTTACCAGGCAGGATTTCCTCCTACAGCATGGCCTTAGCTCCATTTAGAAAAGAAATAATGACATTTGCTGGTAAATGAATGGACTTAGAAAACATTGTATTGGATTAGGTAAGAAAGACCCAGAAAGACAAATCCACATTTTCTCACCTGCAGGTCTTAGCTCTAAATCCTCAGTTGTAAGTATACAACATGGTAAAGCACAGAAAACAAGAAATTATAAAGGGGCCATAGATACAGGGGACTTGGGTGTGGAATAGCAAGATATAAGTGACACGACATGGAAAATGGAATAATGGGATGGGGCTCAACTGGGGAGGAAGGAGATGAATACAGAAGGAGAAGGAAGGAGAGATAACATCAAAGTTATTTGATAAAAACCTCAAAATTACATTATTATATATTTATCTAAAATTATACATAATACTTATAAATATATGTATACACACACACACACACACACACACACACATATATATATATATATATATATATATATATATATATATATATATATATCACATTTTCTTATTCATCCACTTGTGCATCGGTATCTTTGCTGGTTCTACATCTGGCTATTGAGAATAGTGCTACAACATGCCCTGATTTCAAATCTTTCTGAGGTATACCAACTTAGTTTTCTTTGTATATACCTAGTAGTTATAGAGCTGGGTCATATGGTAGTTTTATATTATTTTATTTTTGAGGCGATACCACAGTTCCCACCAATAATGCATAAAAATTATTTATTTTATCTTTAGGTATTGTCTCTATCATTTGTCCTTAGTTTTCCTAATTATTGAGATTCTGAATGGGATGAGATGGAATCTCATTGCCGTTTTAATTTGCTTTATTCTGACGGCCAAAGATTTTTATGTTTATTGGCCACTAACACTTCATCTTTTAAGAACTGCTTATTCAATACATTTGCCCATTTTTTATTAAATTGATGGGAGTTTTGAGTTTGTGAGTATTTCATTTATTCTGGATTTAATCGTAATAGACATGTAGGTAAATGTTTCTCCCAGCATCTGTAGTCTTTCTCTTACTTTTAAAATCATTTCCTTGCTCTGTGGGAGATCTTTAATTTATACAATCCTACCTTTTAATTTTTAAGATTATTACTTGGCTATTGAAGACCTATGCACAAAACCCTGCCAACCATATCTTAAATTATTTTCTTTATGTTCTCCAACAGCAGTCTCAGCATATAAAAAGGAGAGAAGAAAGTTATGGTATGAATATTTGCACAAGTTTTAATCCTATACTTTAAATTATATTGATCCTTAATGACAAATACTTAAAACAAAGTAACAGGATACAAAAGCAACACACAAAATACTTCTCTTATATTGATAATGAACTTCCTGATAAGTGAATTAGGAAATAGAGCATCCACAATATAGGAAAAAGTAAAATACAAATCCAGGAGTAAACCTAATCAATAGGGTGAAAACTCCAATGAATGAAGACTAGAACAGGAAATTTATGGTAGTCAGAAGATTGATAGGTCTCTTATTGTCATAGCTAGTTCAGATTATTGTTAAGTAATGGATATATTATCCAAAGCAATCTAAAGATTCAAAGAAATACCCATCAAAATTTTAATACCTTTGTTTATAGAACTAGAAAACTCTTGAAATTTATATGGTAGTAGCAAAGATCTCAAATAACCACAAATATCCTTAACAGAGAAATATGGAATATCACAAGATCTGCTTTCAAATTATCCTACAGTTCCACAATAACAAAACCAGTATGATACACAGAACAATTTAGATATGCAAATGGCATTAAACCAGATTGAATAGACAGAGGACCCAGAAGTTAAGTGTTCTCTTGCCTTATTGTTCAATGCCTTCTCTGCATCTACTGAGATGACTGTGTGGTGCCTGTGCCTGGATCTACTGATATCTTGAACTATAGCTATTGCTTTGTGTACTGTAGATCATCCCTGTGATGCTATGACACTTTTAGTGTCTTCTAGCATCTGGTTTGCATGTATCTTATGGCAAATTTTGTCTATGCTCACCAGGAAAATTTACTCTGTAGACTTCCTCACTTGGTTTTTGAATGAGGATATTAGTGACTATATAGAAAGGGTTTTGTAGGGTTCCTCCCCTTTCTGCTTGGTAGAATAGTTTGAGGAGCAGAAGTGTTAACTCATATTTAGATATCTGGTAGAATTCAGCCATGATTCCATATAGTACTGGGCTTTTCTCTATTAGGAAACTACTAATGCTTCAATCTTACTCCTTTTATGGATTTTGTCCTCTTGATTTAGCTTGTCTTATGCATCTCATGCTTCATATACTCATTCTGTAATGTTTATGCTGTGGAGAAAACAGGTTTCCCAGCAATGCGCAGAGATTCCCTGGACTTCCTTAGTACATCTTATAAGGCTGCTTTTCCATCTCGTTGTATTAAATTGCATTGCTGCAGTCTCGCTTTGGCTACTTTGCCTAATTTGTCAATCTTGTTCATCTGTTCAAAGGACCAACTCCATTTCATTGCTTCTTTGCTTTCTTCTTTCAGTCTCTACTTCATTTCTTTCTGCCCTGGTTTTTATTATTTCTGTTATTCACTGCTTCGAGTTTTCTCTTGTTTCTGTTTTAAAGATGTTAAAGTGAATTCTTGAATTATTTTTCTGAGATTTCTTTTTTAGATAAACACCAGTAGCTATAAACTCTCTTCTCAGAAGTGCCTTTGTAACACCCCAAAACTTCTAATAAGTTTCTCTTTCATTTTCACTTAAGTCTAAAACTAGTTTCTATTTCTTTCCTGATTTCTTTAATGAGCCACTAACCTTTCCATGTCATTCTGTTGATTCTTCAGACATTTGCGTTCCTTTTTACAATTTCTCCTGTCACTTACATCTCGTTTTGTCCCTATCTTGTTTAGATAAGATAAAATAACTATTTCTTTTATTATTTGTTAACACTAGTCTCATGATGTAAACTAATATTTGTTTGAAACAAAGTTCCATGAGCTTCTAAGAAGAATGTGTATTCTCAGTGAGTTATATATAATATTCTATAGAGGTGTGTTAAGTTCATTGGAAGTGTGGGACAATTTAATGTTGAAGTTTGTTGATTGATTTTGTAGTGTCTGCTTGAGTGTGGTATTGTAAGTTACTGACTTAGTGTATTTGGTCTTTATTTCTTATCTGCTCTTTATTTCTATTATTGTCTGTTTCACTCAGTATTCGATGTATGTGCTTTTATAATTTTATAATTATCACAGCATCTTGATGTAGCATCCTCTTTAGTAATTTTTTGACCTTCTTTATCTCTTCCCTTGATTTTTGGATTGAAATCTACTATCTGCCTATCAAATGATTTGCATTCTTTTGTTCTCAGCCTGTGCATAGCTTTATCAGTTATAGGTTTCTTGCAGACAGCAATTGTTTGATCCTGGTTTTCATTTTGTTTAATTTAACAAGCTCATTGGCATATTGCATGGAAGAATTAAAACCATTTGCATTTCATATTATTAATTAGCATTATAAAGCATTGCTGATTCTGTAGTTCGTGCTGGTTGTACTATGCTTGAAGTAATTGTTCCGTCTTTTCTTCCTCTCCTGCTTTTATTCAGATCTTTCTGTTTGCTGAGCTGTCTGTATCTGTTTCTTCACATATTTCCCTCATGAAATTTGCCCTTTGCTGATTAATATTGTCTTTCTTCTTTTTTTGGAGTGTAAGATTTTAAGATCCTTCAATAATGTGGGCTTGGTGGCCAAGCACAAACTGCTTCATTTTGTGCTTGAAAAGTCTCCATTGATTTTCAGATACTATTTCCTAGATACCACTGCACATATTATCAGCAGATTTTAAGATTTGAAGCTTGTCACTCAGCTCTTTTCTTGTCTTAATGGTCTCTGCTGGAAGCTCTGAAATCCTGATATGTGTGCCTCTGTGACTCAGGATTTTTCTTCGGCGGCTTTTCATGGATTCTTTCTATTGTTGTTTTCATATCTTGGCTTTAAGGACAGTGCAGAAGTTCTTTTCTGATTGTATTTGGAATTTTAAGGACCTCTTGTGCTTGGATGTCTACATCTTTCCCTGGTTTGAGAATGTTCTATTATAGTTTCAGCAGATACATTTTTGAGACCTATAACTAGCTTTTCTCATTTTATCTTAGCTATTCTACTTACCCAGTGGCTTCTCAGGCTTAATCTCTTGATTGTTTTTCAGAATTCATGAATTTATGATCATGCTTGTTTTTCTTTATTGATGTCTAAGTGTAATATCTTCTCAAACAGGTATCTTATTCCAAATATTTTTATTTGGATTAAAAATATAAACTTACTACAAGTTTGATGAAATTTACAAAAGTATTTCCCTCATATCCTATCTATTAAATTCACTTTCAAATCACACATGCACACTTTCAAATCCTTTAAATATTGACCCACTCATTCACTGTTATGAATTACATAAGCTCTTTAAAATTTATCTTTTAATTTGTAGGTAGGACATCTAGTATTCTTTAGTGTTACAGGACAATTAAACATGGTGATATGCAAGATTCATTTACCCAGTTCCTGAAGCAGTAGTAATCACAGGATAGAGAGCATTAATACTTATTAATACTCATGAGCATGTCCACAAGCACCTGACATCCAGAAACCAAGCATATGAATGGGAAATTTGGAGAAATGAGTGATTAGAAAGTTGTGGTTGCCTTCCTCTGGTTAGATAGAAATTGGCCTAAACCAGACTCCCTCAAGGGCATTATGATCCTTTTGTTGACTCTAAAGTTAGACACATTCATTGTAGGTAGAACATAAGATATCAGAAGTTTGAAATCAGCCCATTCGAAATTTCTTCTATTGACCATATCTTTTGTGCAACATTCTGGCAATTTTTTTGCATGGAAGTATAGATATAGAAGAAAAGCAGGCAATCTGTAATATAATATTTCAGGTGTGGAAAAAAATGTATTCTTCACAATATATAGTTTGGTATCTTTGTGTACAAAACTATACAGCAACCATTATCTACAATATCTCAAAGTAACATCAATTATGTTTGGAATTTTGAGCCTCATATTTTTAACATGGCTTCTCTGGTATCTGTGTCAAGATTTCATATATATCAATTCACACACACACACACATACACACACTTTCAAATAATAAGCATGAATAACTAACTAGTGACTTAATTTCTTTCAGTTTTCACAACTACTCATGTTAATCCCAGAGAAACTGTGTTGAGACCTGAAAATGGTAAGTTTGAATTTATGGTTGCTTTTACCTCTTGAAGAAGTGTTTTTCTTCTATCACCTCATCTTCTGAACATTCGTGGATTAATGTTATAAAACAAACAAAAGTAATTGCTAAATGCAGTGGAAGAGTTTGAGTTTGCATTATAAATCAATCTTTTCCTCCATGTCACTATAGATTAAAAACAATTTCCATTTGAAACTTTACCTTCAAAAATAGAAGTTTTTTTCCATTATCAGAAAGATTTTTACTGAAAGGAGCCCTGGTAGTTACAAACAAACAAACAAACAAACAAAGTACTCTCCTAAGAAATACTAAGATGCACCAAGTAAGTGCTGTAAGACATGCCAGTAATCCTAGCACTTGGAAGGTAGAGGCAGAAGAATCAAAAGTTCAAGACTAGCCTGACTTTGTTAAATATTTTCATGTGTTCATGGGGTGGGGGTGGGGCTCTGAGAGAGAGTATGTGTTTAAATTCATGTGTGAATATGCATATATATGCATATACATGCTAGAGGAAAACCTTTGAAATGCTCTGAAATGCTAAACACCTTCTTTAAGACAGGTCATTCATTAAGCTAGGCTGCCTGGCTATCTAGCCTAAGGGAGCCCATCTTTCTCTGATTATACAGCACAGTGATTACCACACAGTACACAGGCCTAGCATTTTTATGTGTGTTCTGGAAACCAAACTCAGATTCTTATATTTTCAAAACAAGCACTTTTACTGACCCTGTCTTTAAAAATATCATGTAAGATTTTTGACTATACCATTTAAGCCTGATTCTTTTCTCATACATGGAGTCATTCAGAATTTAACTCATTTAAGTTCTATTGTGAAATTAAATACAATGAATGTGAATTGCTTAATGCATTGCCTGGAATAGCAATTATCATTGTAGAAGTATGAACTTTCATTATCAATTCTGTCTGATGATCTCTCTCTCTCTCTCTCTCTCTCTCTCTCTCTCACACACACACACACACACACACACACACACACACACACACACAAACACACAGCATGTCAAATAATGCCAATGGTAACTCACTAGAACTTGTTCTCATTTCTTCTAGTGAACAATGCTACTGATCTGGAAGCTTGCTTGAAAGAAAGAAAGGGTACGTCGTCGTTTCTTATCTTTACCTTTATCTTGTCACAGAGAACATGCTCTCAATCATCTTAAATTTGAATTTCTCTGCTTTAAAGAAAAGCCATAGTGGCTGCAATTGCTGTTTAGACTGAGTGATATTCTAATTTAAACCACCATTTCCTAACCATATCAACAATTTTTCTTCATACAACTTTGATGAGGGACTATAGGGTTTTTTTTTTACTACTTTTCCCCCTACTAATCACATTTCTTAACACCTACAGAATCCATTTTAGACAAAAGGCCCTTGAGCTGGGTTCTGTGTGTATCTCTCTTGTTACTCCTCTCATACACTGTAATGGTACTCTATTGTTCAGATGTGGCTACTGAGCTAATGTTAAGTCACATGTCACACATTCAGATCTGGGGTACAACGCAGATCATCAAATGGCAACTTGATCACTTACTCAGTTTTGCATTTTTCCTTCTAAGTCACAGAATAAGATATTGTATTCTGTGCAGTGCTATATGAATGGTGAAGAGAATGGGCTTCATATTGTATCTGGCTAGTGGTCCAGTCCTTCTAATGCTCCATCTGTACATATATGCATGAGTGACTTCCATTCTGTAAGCAAGATGTGTTTCACCTGGCAATGGAGAATAATAACCCTAAATTCCCAATTACAGAGATGAGTGCCATAGTGTCAGATGCCCAGTAAAGTTATCATATTTAGTAAGCAGAGTGAGTACTAGTTTCTGTTCCTTTCTCCTGATATATACACCAAGATGAGACGCTTATATTTATTCTAGGGATGACTGTTCTTCCGTTTACTCAGGGCCAAGAGCTCAGATCTGAGGTGTGACATGAAGAATGGACCTGACCAAGGACAGAGTTAAAACATTTTATTACTTTTGATATGTTATCTTCAGGCCAGAAAGAATCATGACCTTGACTCATTAAGTAGCTACTGTGGTTCTCCAATTCCACCATTGTATTAACTGATGATAGCATTTATTTCTTATAAAACTTCAATTACCCATTATATACTAATGAGAGGCTTGAGAAAGATGGGTGAATGTCTTGGGAAACCTGGATTGACAGGCTGCCTCAGGCTTTTCTGTAGAGTCCTCTTCTATAATCTCCTGTGCATTCCACTGAGCTAGCATTGGGTTTCCATAGTCAGTGTCTCCTGAAGGAGCACTGCAGGCTTTATCTACAATGCGTCAGATGTTCTGTTGTATTTGTGCTTATATTTTTTATGTCTGGAATGATAGTTATACTTGGAGATATAAAAAGAAATTAGGTAACATTTCTTTAAAGTCACTTCTGTGGACAAAGACTTGGGCTGTGGGTTACTCAGTACATATTAGGCAAACTATTTTTTCTGTGCCCTGTTTGATTACAAATAGAAATGAAAATTCTTCCTCTACAAAAAGCTATTTATTTATTAAAAAGGTGAAAGTTTCATGTGCAAAGATATCAGAATATTATTTAGAATTTGCTTTGTACATGATGGATATTATCGGTTTTTCACTTCTGACATATCTAAATAATATCTAAACTTTTCCTGCATTTAACCTTCAAATGCATCCGTCTATCCCAAGTGCAACTTATCTTTTCAGTAGTAGTAGAATTCCAAATGAACTTATCAAAGGATGTTATTAATCTGACTTCTAAGATGAGTCCTCTTACTGATTCTGCTAAGAGTGGTAGGTGTTGAGTTGTCCCTTAATGCAGGTCACCAGAAAAAAAAGTTGCCTATGTGTGCTGTTTTGTCAAAATAGCAGATAACACTAACTCCAAGATTCTTTTAGATTTGCTGCAGCTTCAGGTCACCACCACCTCTGCATTCTACACCTACCTCATCCTGTTCTTTAAGAGCACAGTCTACTTGGCCTTTGTTGTATTCTGTCTGTTTAGAAGAACATCCATGCCTTGTGATGGTCAACGTTCATAACAGATGATGAAACAGAATGGTCATGCCATCTTCATCGTTACTGCATCCCAATATCTGCTGAGGGTCCATCTGGGCTTGCTTGCTGGCTTTGACCTCCACAAGGACACATTTGTGTGGTTTTTGTATCATTATTATAGTTCTCACAGCAGAGACGAAACTGATCAACTTCACTCTCCAACAAATAGCTTCCAAGCATCCAGCCATCCTAACCCATCCTCTCTCAGTCCCTCTAGCATCCCCTAGCATCACAGGCCAGATGTACACAAACTGCAGCTCCTAGTCATCCCACTTCATGCCCTAGAACCAGATAATGCTTCCAAAACCTCTACTTCATATGCCCTAGATAACTTTATTTGAACTTAAATTGTGTGCTTTGTTTTATGAAATATAATTTAAAAAAAATCCAGCCTACTTTTGGTATGATGTGTTTTTACTTGTGGCAGTGATTGAAGGTTCAAAGTACAAAGAAACATGACAACTGAACTCAGAAATGTTATGTCTGTTGGTAACAAGGTCCAAAACTATAATCCTAAATCTTAGATGATGGTTGGAAAAATATTCTGGAGCAGTAGATCCTAAGAGGAAGGCCACGTGCAGAAGCCAATGGGACTGCTCTCTCAGGGGAAACTAGGTCATTTAGTTTAAATCATTTCCATGGAAACAGGATGTGTGCTGTGTGATCAACTCTGTGCCTGTTTCACAGCATCATGCCTCCCAATCCTCACATTGTTCATAGGAGAGCTGCCCAAACCCCAGGAGGAAAGCCAGTGGAGGAGATGAACACACAGACTGTAGACCTGAGAACCTAGGTTTCAACCCTGGATCCAGAATTTAGAATCTGTGTGAGATCAAATACTGTGAAAGAAAATTAGAGTGATGTGTCCTCTGGAGCTGTGTACATTATATGGGTTAATAAAGTTCTGTGCTGGCCAGGGCTTGAGGGCCTCTGGTTAAGTTACAGAGTCTACCTTAGAAATACTGTATACCACAAAGGCACAGACTTAGCTTCTAATGCACCAGGCAAATTAAAATTCTCTAAGAGTGTACTGATATGAATACAATTCTATCCTATAGAACATTTAAATTCACTGATTTTCAATTAATAGTCATAGTTTGAAATGAGGTTTGTCTGAATTCAGTGCATTTGTTTTATAGGCATAGATCACTTATGCAATTATTATGTGCCTTCCTCTAAGTCACTCTCAATTGAGAAAAATAAAACAAATGGATTGAATCATCTCAAGATTTCCTGAAGGGCTCGAGTGTCTGTTTTCCTTACATATATTCCAGATCATCTATTGTTCATTGATTCTCAGTCTTTCTTTGGGAAAGACTCTGCTCTACTCTGGAATCACAGTAGTCTCCCCCTCTGCCATCAGTAGAAGTTCTGCCTTCACCCCTGAGTACCTACCACATCCTTGTTTTTTTCTGGGAGAGCTAAAGAAGTTGGCTATGGGTTGCAGGTACTGCAGGGCCATTATTAATGTTCTCAGGATGTGAACAGCATTCTGACACATAGCTCTTCAACTCAGTGAGCTCTGGAAGTCCTCAGACTCGCCATATGGAAGACTCTGATGATGCCAAATATATTTCTGAGGAGGAAGAGAGTTGTGCATCCTTGTTCTTCATCCAAGGCTTGTTCACTAAAATTGATACATATAGGGAAGCCGTGTGCTTCTATGGGAGGACCCTGGACCAGAAATCACACTTCAAAGGCATTTAACAGTCTGTCTCTTAGTCTTTCCCCTCTCACAGTGACCCATAAGGCATATATGTAATTACAGAATCCCATGCTTGATGAACGTCTACACTGTAAAAATTTCAAATCATTGTAAACATCTTTCCATTAAATATTTTTCAATCTTTGAAAGCATTCATTTTTTTCTCCCAGCTATGTGAAATAGATCTTACATTATATGTATGATTTAGTCTCATGATGAAATTTAACTATGTTGTGGAGAACATATTACAGTTTCTATGCACCTGCAAATTCAACTGCAGAAAGCTTAATGAAGAACACTGATCATGGTATGTGGAGCCTTATTTTAAATTTCATTCATACACAGTGAGACAAGGGTGACATTCTATAGGTTGGGAAACCAAGGCCGAGATGAGTAAGAAACCTTCCCATAACTATGCAACTAAGAACTAGAGCAAGGAAGGATTTGAACCCAGGCTGCCTGGGTTCAGCAGCCCAGCCCTTGCCTTCTAAATCATTTGGCTACGGAGCAGAAAAAGGTATTCCTCAGGAAAATCTTCCTCATCAGGCTAAGAACTGATTGACAGAATGATTCACCTTTCATCACCTGGTTGTATGCTTTTGTTCAAAATACAAAGCTAGAGGCCAGTCTGTCACAGATTATTTACGCAAAGCTGACTTCCACACAGACTTCCTGTCCACCAAGATTGTTGTGCTACATATCACAGGTTGGGATAAAATAAATTTGGGAACAGAAGTCTGCACTCAAAGGCACTCATAGAAAAGAATGAAGATTTCCACAGTCTCACATGCAGAAAGTCCTGTCTGGACAGTAGCCTTTCTTCCAAAACTTCAAAAGGCCTTTGAGAAAGGAGTGTGCACAAACCATCTCAACAGCTGGGAGAATTTGGCTAACAAGCTTTTCAGGTTTTCTTATACACTCACGGTGCACGGGTAAGCAGAGAGTCCTTCAAGTACTTCTCAACTATAAACTACAACTAGTTTAGAAACTCTATGACTCACTTATAAAGCAAAGAGAAAACTTCTAGACAATACACTTCAGAGTTTTCTCTAGTACTGATGCACACCACTTTGTATTTTTTTTATTTTGCAATTAAATAAATTTTGCAAAACAAAAATACATTTTATAATGATGAAAGCTCAATCCCTAAAGCCCTCATAGGAATTCAGGAATGGTGATGCACACTTTTAACCTCAACCTGGATGAGGCTAAAACATGCATATTCTTGGTGCTCAGTGGCCAGTCAGCCTAGCTTATGTAGTGAGTTCAAGGTCACTGAGAGAGGACAGTGCTTGAAAGTCAACACCTGGGCTTGCCTCTGTGTGAACATGGACACTTGCACATATGTACAATAACAGACTAAGTATCTTATTCATGTTCTCTAGTGATACAGAGAAGAGATGCCAAATCCCCTTCAGAAAGCCCAACTTTCTGCAGCCCAAGTGTATTCGAACACCTGGAAGAGGCCTGTCAAACTTCAATGCTAGGCTAACCTTTCAAGTATAAAACAGGATCTTATGATGATACCAATTTATTTTTTCTGAAAATAAACATCTCATCAGTTTGATGCCTGTTTTATGTCTGTTTACATGTGTCTATTCATGTTCTTCCCCATTTTCAACTGTGCAGTAATACCAGCAAACATGGCATCTCTTAGTACATTTCTGTAAGCAGGGATAGTAAGCCAAACGGTCTTCATGTGGTAGCTGGATGAGAGTTCAGTATTTGTGACATATCTTTTTTAATGGGCACTTATGAAGTTAGAACTACATTTGAATCAGTACTATTTAACTTTTACACTGGGAAGGTTGTTTACAATCAGTCTCAGTCTAAAAAGCAGGTTCTATGGAAAGCAAGCAGAGCTACATTTTGGAACAACTCATGAAAAAGACTCGGAGATAACTCCTTGATGGTCCTGAGTTGATCAGACTGCTTCAGTCTAAGTTCCTGGCCCAGCTTTCCAGACATGGAAATCTTTCTGCAGTGGCAAATACTGACAGGGAACTGACAACCAGAAGCAGCAGCTTTGTGAGGTCATGACTAGCTAGGATACAGGCAGCATCTCCTGTGGTCAGACATCTCAGCATCCTCCTTCCAGAGTCCAGCTGGGCTCCCAGGTCTCACCAGTAGAGTGCCAGTTGCAGGGGAGGAAGGGACACCGGAGGTTAATGGTGTGCAGGATGGTGCTGCTATGCTTGGTGGCTTTTTTTTTTCTCAACATCTTTTGTTTACCTCCTTGGTCAATGTGGTTGCTTCCTGGAAAATGCTCAAAGCCAAACCCACCACTACTCATTGGGGCAACACAAAGGGTAGCTAGGGTGTTAGAAGAGAAAATAAGAGCAGTTAAACCACAGCCAGCTCTGCTCTGCTTCAAACGGTCATGGCTAATAGAAAAAAAAATTAGCTTTATGTTGGGGGGTGGCAGTCAAACTGAAGAGTCACACTCCCTGAGGTGGACACTTGGTTCTCAGTTGTTTCAGCTAGAATCAGATGCTGATATTTTTAACTTTTTTTTTTAACTCAGTGCAAAGAGGGTGACATTTCAGTGACAATTTCATGTACTTGAAGCCTAGCCAGATGTCAGTGCTGAGAAAGAACACCACTGAGAAAGAGTGCTGAGGTCCTGTCCCAAGAACAGACCTGGAGAGTTCCCTCTACTTTCCCTTACTATGAGCAGTCTTTCTTGGTTGCACCCCGGCCTCCCTGCTAGACTCCTTGTAACCGTGCTGAGGTAGGCATATTCTGGAAACAGTGTATAAGCAGGACTGGATCTGTGCAGGGCCTGTTTCCACCCAAGTGTGAAGCATTGCTGCTGCATGAAGTGAACCTTTCTAGCATGACACAACCAATGGTGGAGCCTCACAGTCTACCCTCTGGGAAGCTGAAAGTGAATTTGGAAAAGTGACTGTAAAAACACGTGACGGCATTAATTAGTTGATATTAATCCTAATGATGTAAACATCCAGGAAAAGTGGCAGCAAAAGCATCCACAGCCTTTGCTGGTTGTTTGTTTGCAGAACATCAGATCCTACCTCAGAACAAGAAGTCCCAAGAGAGTCATACAAAACACAGGCCAATACACCTGTGTCCCTAGGGCATACCCTCTTCCTTTTGTAACCCATCACTCCTGGACAAACATGTAATATAGACAAAACACAGTAGTCATTTTGATATGTTGGATTTATTATTTTAAAACTGTATAAAGAGCACATGTGCATGAGTTTAAAAACACAAGTGAAATGTAAGGAGTTAAAAAAGAAATACAAAAGAAATCTGAGACATGAAACAAAAAAAATACATTCTGAAAATTGAAATAAAAAGGTATTTCACTTACTACAAAATGTTATTTCAATATATTAAGCAGTCTTTTGATTCAGATGCAGCACAAGACGGAGTTATCATTATCAGGTCAGACCGAAACTCACAGACTAGAGGAAGGACCACAGCGTGACCCGAAGGCCACAGGCAGGGATGATGTGAGTGGAGGTGGAGCAATGTCCATGAGGTATCACCATAAATAAACTCACTAGCTCATCAGCATCCAGCAGTGAGCAGATCCACCACTTCAGCTGTCTTCCTTGGATGACTCGCTGTGAGGGTTCTTCACACTTAGAGAAAGAGTGAAGACAGTGAGTTGTGGCCAGAGGCCAAGTGCTGTGTTGCTGCCATTTTCCTAACTCTGTATTGCAGGCAGGCTATGACAGAGATTCATAAACGACACTAACATGACAACATATGGCTTAATTTTAAAGAGTTTAACATAAAACCTGATTATTTCATGCTGACAGTTTTGCCTCTTGTGTGTCCAGCTGCTTTGCTGTGCTGTGCTGTGTGCTGACAGTGTCACAGACACGAACGGGGCTCATCTGCTGTGGCACTGACTGGGCCAGCAGCCCATCTGCCTTCCCTTGTTTTGTGAGCCACAGTCTGATAGCCTGTTCCCCAGTGGTTATGTCCAGAAGCACTGCTGCCCTCTGCTTGCTACTTACTGTTCCTACATGAGGAAGCTTTCCTATGAGACGTGCCAACGCCCTTGAGACAAATCCCTATGGGGAGCTGCAGAAGTCCCTGGGGTATGACTGGTGGATCTGAGCTCAGTTCCCCACTTTATGCTGTGCCGTCTCAGACAAGTCTCTCACCCACCCTCTCCATCCACAAGTGTAACAGGGAGGTACCATCGATCCCTTACCTCAGCATCGCTGACTGTAAGACACGTTAGGAGCGTGTTTGAAATTAAGCCAACAACTGGCCACTGACAATCTGGCTAAGTTAATCCGTATTTTCTTAGAAATGTGGGCCTCTGAGGGATCTTTCAGGGTACATATTTACAACCCATATACAATATGAAGGCCTCAACCTGAATTGTTCTTACACACACACATACACATAAGCAGGACAAATCTGGCTCTGGCTGGCTGCACACTCTGTGACACACTTCAACACTTTGTTGGTACAATTTCATTTATTAACACTCACTTCACAGAGCAGAACTCATAGTTCTAAAAGCGGTTTCTCACTGTCC